AATAATAAATAACAAAAAATATATCCGGACAATACAAAGCAAATAAAGAAAGGGCAGTACTTATGTCATTGTATTATTGACCAGAAGGAAAAGAATATAAAAAGTATTACTTTGTAGAATATCATCTCAATACATCAAGTACATCTTTGTTTTTTTGTTATTTTCATATTAAACAATACACGTCTCTTATCATTGGAGTAGATATATGAATAAATATTTAAGTATTTCATATTATACCATAATCAGTTCAAAATGAAATTTGTATCGATATTCAACTATAATGGAAGTATAATAAGAAAAAAAAATATTTATTTTAATAATAAATATAATCTACAACTGATTTTTCTATTACAGTAGAAAATTGTAATTTCTTTTACTATAATAGTAGTTTTGCGGTTTGAGTTCTTCTACAAATAAAATAAAATAAAGAGAAAAAAATTGATTTCAATATTAAACGTAAATTAAAATAGGATTATTGTATCAATGTGGAAAAAACAACTAGAATAGAATTACTATTTTGAATTATTGTATTTTATGTAAGAATTGTTCTCAAGCAGTAGTGTGATAGATTAAAAAAAAATATTTTGTTTGCTTTATAGTTATATTTTAGATTAATATCGTCCTACAACTATAGCAAAAATCGAAACAAATCTTTGACTTTTTTGCTTTAATGTTTTAAGTTATTTTCGAAATAAATTTATTCAGTTGAATCTTTGTTTGTATTTATATTAAAATTATCCGACTATAATTATTTTTATGAAACGATTAAAAAAAATAATTATTTATTTATTGATGATCAATAAGAATATATCACAGATATTTATCTAAAATAATATAATATACTATATGATGAGTCATGAGAGATATTTTAGTAGAAGTTTCTTTCATCTTAGTTCATGTCTACTCATCACTTTGAAATTTGACTTATGTAATACTGATAACCTTTTGATAAGCAAACAAATTATATATTTTTATTTATTTCATTCAATATCTCTTGTCGTATTAGTTTTAAAATAATTTTTGCAGTTTGTTTGGTTAATTAATCACCATTCTATAAAGTGGATATATAAAAATAATCAACTCTAGGAAATTTAAATAAAGTATTATTTTCAGTTGGCATTTATCATACATGATTATATTTAATTCTAACTAATTGAAATCTCAAACTTTAGAGTATTGAAATAATTATGAAATTCATTGGATTTAATATGTTAAGACTTGTTTATAATCATTTAAGTAAGAAAACTCTCCAACCAGAGTTTTATTTACAAAGAAAATAATAATAAACTCTGAATCAAAATTTTGTCGTATATAGTTACTTACTGATCAACAGGGCTAACATAAAATATTAATCATAAATATCTTTTGAATAGAAGCAATAATTGAACATGACGATATATTTTTAGAGTGATATATAATTGATTAGTACACTTCATTGATTTTTTACATATACGTATACATTCTGTTCTCTTAACTCATTTCTTTGTCTTTAGTGAACAACTTATCCACCTTGATCTTTGAATTGATCGCTATATCAGAGTATATCTTAATAGGAATAGATCACGTTAAATATATGAATTTATTATCAAGAACGTATGTCTCAACCGAGATAATTTAGATGACATACATATAGATCCAAACTCAAAATAACTTGCTTTATTGAATTTAAAATATTGAATAATAGTTCATTCAATATATTTATTCTCTTTTTCAATCTAGTATAAAAGATTAATAAATATTAGATTTATGCAAATTTATTTCATGTGTATCTCTTACGGATTATTTCGTTGAGAAGATATAAAAAAAAGTAATCGCTTGCTTATTTACAGTAGTCAGTTATTTTCATTCTATCACATTAGTACACTGTCAACAGAAGGTAAGATTTTATCTTCTATAGACAACGTGCTACTATAACCGAACGAAACGAAAAGAAAAAAAAAACGAAAAATCACGTTATTTTGTGTTGACGATAAGTTTGTCTATAGTTCAAAAGTATCACTGTTACTTTGAAATAAAATAAAATAATCGACGAATTAGTTTATTTTATTATATCTAGTTGAATAATATAGAAATGAAACAAATATATATTTAATTAAAAGATTGTCTAATCTATATCCACATTGTTCATATATTCAAATGTTATTCAATTCAAAATTTATATGAGATTCGAATATTGTTTCATATACTTTAATCAACAAACGGACAAACGATTATTCTATCCGTTTGTTAACATATAGGTAAAAAAGAGAAAAATATATAAATTATAGGTTGTATTGTATAGTGGTATAGATACGAACAAATATAGATAGATTTCGTGTGATTTTTTTTTGATCAAAGTTAATCTATAATAATCAAAAGCTTTTCCTTGTATTGAAAATTTCAACAAAAGTAATTCTATGTTTTACATTGACTTGTTCTTTTTTTTTATGAAAAATTCTTTGATAACAATCAATGCAGATCGTTAACACTTTGAAATAGAAAATAAAAGTGATGGAACATTGTAACAAAGAAAAAGATCTATAAATTATTTTCTTCTTATTCGAATCTTTATTTTATTGTAATTACAATGACGAACAGGTGAGGTAGTGTTACTACTATTCTCGATATATTACTCTATTATTCACTTGTGTTCATATCATACAACTTCATGTAGTATATATAAGAACACAAAAACGAGAGAACGAAAAGAATAAAATACAGATCAGTTTTGTTTATCAATACTATTTATATTGGAATGAAGAATATTTCTCAATAAATATTAACTTTTCTATAATAGAAAACGAAATCAATCTCATATTTTTGTTATTCACCAATAAGAATTGCTCGATTCGGTATAATAATCAATTGTATAAAAATCAAACTATTTTATCTATTTTGCACAATTAAGATATTATAACCATTTTACATATACTATTATAAAATTCGAATAGAATATAGACTATTGAATATAGAAGAAAGTTTTTTTTTAAATAATTTAATCGATTTGAATGGAAGTTAAGATGGTTTTCTTACTCAATACTATTTAGTAGAAAGATATTTGTATGATTAAATAAAAAAAAGAAATAACTTTGATTCGATTGTTTAGAAATCAAGATATTTTATTATTTAAATTGAGTTATTTTCAATGAGAATTTTAAATCTTTTTATTTTATCATCTAAATAAAAGAAAGGAGGTGTGAAGATTCTTCTATTAAGAATTATTTGTTCTTTTTAAATCTTGGTTTTATATTTTTATTTTAGATGAAAAGAATAGTTGCGGTAATAAAAGTTTGATTAGTATTCCTCTAGAATTATTTTCTCAATTGTATCAATAATGGATAAAATCTCAATAAATAATAATTAACTTCGAAATTATTATTCATCAAACCTAAACTGTTCACAGTAAAGAATCAATTGAAAGATGATTATGAAAGTAATGAGAATTTGAAAAATAATAAATCAATATGATAAATATAAATATCGAATGAGAATGAGTAATGATAAAAGAGTAATATTTGTCTGAATAGATCTTTTCTATTAGATTAAAACGATAAATAGAAATAAACAATTTTTCATCTTGTGGATGTGCGGGTAGAGGTGTGGGTAGGTGGGTTTGTGTGTGGGCGTCGGTGAGGGTATGTGATGTGTATAGTATACTGGTACCCACACCCACACCCTCGTTGCAGAATATTCGAACTGTAGAAACATGCTGTATATATTTTCTCTCGAATTAAACTATATCATAATTGACTGATAACCTTCAATTTAAAATAAATCTGATCATAATAATATTTTATATGAAATATATAAGCATCTATATCATAAATCAAGAAATCTTCAAAAATCACTGATAAAAAAATGTGATTTCATTTCAGATTTTATATAGATTGTACCATGGCTTCTCATATTAGCAATAGTCTTCATACTGATATAGCTCTTAATGGTTATGATGAATCTGAATTTGATATCAAAAAATTTTATACGAGAGATAAAACTTTACAATTACGTGATACTTATATTCCGTAAGATTACATTTATTTTTTCATCGAAATAAACTTTTTTTCATTCATAGGAATTGTACCGAGCTTTTTTATCGTCATAGTCCATTGAAGATTGTTCGTGGTCAAGGAACATATATGTATGATCAATTAGGAAATAAATATTTAGATTGTATCAATAATGTTGCACATGGTATTTATTATTATTATTATCTGTATCAATATCATTCTTTTATCTTTTAGTTGGTCATTGTCATCCATATGTTAATAAACAAATTTAT